CACAGCACGAACGCCACTGAGGTCGGCTCCTATCCATATCAGCAAGTATGTCCAAGCAAACGTGTTCATCGTCTTTCAGACCACAACCAGGGAGCCGAGACGCTCCAAACGAGGCCAGCTCAGAAGTGAGGGACTTCATTCCTCTCGACCAAGTCATCGCTTGGCTACCCCTCCTCTTCTTCCATCCACACCCCTGGCGCGCAAACGACACACGTCGCGGGAGTCGGTGGGCTGGCATGCGTAACTCGTGGCCGAGCCATCGGAGCCTGGTGCGTGAAATGACGGTGCTGAGCGGTTCATTTCCTTTTCCTGTGCCGTGAACAAGGCGTCGAACACGCTCGTTGCTTACGCGGTGTTCACACCAGATGTGAGTTAAATTACGAAGGCACCGGCGGTCGAACGTAACTAGCCTCTTCAGGTCCGCTGCTTTAAGCGGCAAGGTGTCACAACAACCATGAGGATCTTTGAAATAGAGAATAAGAGGGAGAGAGGGGGACTTGCCTGAAAACCTTAATGCCCTTAGCTAACATTCAGGGTCAAGGCGCCTACACCTTGTGTAGACAACATGCCGTCACAAACAGCTGGCTATCGTGCAAAGATAAGGCGGCATCGGCGAGACAGCTTCCTTGCGGCTTTCACTGCCACGCGTCATAATCAGCCATTACCCCGCAGATAACTCAGCACCAAACACACTTTAAACAGGCAATCCAATTAGGAGACGACAGCAGACGCGCCACTGGTGTCGGTTGCGAGCCATGTCCTGTAAAGTCTCGAGCCAAGCACAAGAGGAGTCACGTGGACTCCGGCCCGGAAGGCGAGACGGACCAACGGCACCCAGTTTGGTCGTCAGTGACTTCATTTCCCGCTACCAAGTCAACTTCTGTCCACCTCGAGCCTTGCGTCACCCTACACCTGGCAGACTAAAAAAGGCCCTCCTAGGTAAGCGGTGACCAGGCATACATAGCACGTGTTCGAGCCAAAGCAACTTATTCAGTGCTATCTGTTGTTCTAGGGAGCTAGCAGGATTATCATCACCTAGTACTCGCCTACGCACATCATCGTTGCGGACATGCTGGTGCCATCCGACTCCAGCAATGCTTCGTAGACAACGATGCTCAAAGAGTTGAAGGCGCCTCAGATCTTCAGACCGAACGGGCCGTCTCACTGCCATAGAGCAGAACGGCCCTCACTGTGGCCTTTCAGACGAAGGGAAACCCTTCTGGTGCCAAAGATGCCACAGGTTCAAGAAAGTAGCTTTGGATTTTGCAATGCGTGAGTTGACGTCAGTTTGTATGCGCCCATCATTGCTGATGCGGCTGCCAAGATAAGTGGAATGATCAGCCACCTCGAGTTCCTCGTTAGCAAGTGTCAAGGGGTCATCAAGTGGCTGGTGGTCTTGCAGCAACACTTTGCACTTTGATGGTGCGAAGTGCATACCAAATAATGGGACCCCTCTGGACAGGCTATTCAGGGTTGACTGGGCCGCCCCAACATCGTCGAAAAGCAAGAGGATATCGTCCGAATAATCTAGATCAACTAACCTTTCACCAGACAGCATTTCAACGCCTACATCTTGAGATTCCGCAAGGAAACGCTCCATGATAGAATCCACGACGAAATTGAACAAAAACGGGGAAATCGGACAACCTTGACGAAAGCCACTGGTGGTCGGAAAGCTATCCGATAGGCCACCGTAGACACTGACGCGGCCTGTAGTGTTCGAATATAGAGCACGAAGGATGTTCACATATTTCGTGGGAACATCTTTCCGCGCAAGTAGTTCGAACAGAATCGACCAATCGACTGAATCGGCCGCACTCTTGAAATCGAGGAACACAGCTATTGTCGATCTGCGGTATGCGTGGCGCTGCTCTAGCACCTGCCGCAAAGTGAATATATGGTCTATACAGCCACACTCTGGACGGAAACCAGTCTGCTCTTCCCTAATCCGAGATTCCCGTTCCGCAGTGAGGTGACGAACGATAATCAAGGCCAATAATTTTGTCACAACTGGCGTTAGGCTAATACCCCTGTGGTTAGAACAGTCTGTGCGACTGCCCTTCTTGTATATTGTCACTATAATCGATTCACTCCAGTTAGCCGGGACACTTCCTTCCAGATACACTCGAATAAGGAGGTCAGTGCTTTGCAGAGGACCTCATCTCCATCCTTAAATAGTGCAGATGGGAGGGAATCCGGGCCAGCCGCACGAAAACGATTAAGGGCTGTGATCGCGTTTCGGACCTCGGCCTCCGACGGAGGCTCTAACCTAACCGTCCATGGTTCGTTCTGCATCACTTGAGTAGGAGGAGGTCCGGGAGCAGGAGGCCAGCTGAACTGATCTTGAAAGTGTTCCACCCAACGAGCCATACGGCGCTCCGTATTGTGTATCTGTGCAACCGCACTGTCTCTGATTGTCTCACTGACGCCTGGTTTTCTGGGACCAGTGGTGCGGATTAGCTGGAAGAGCTTGCGGTGATTGCCTACTGCTCTTGCCTCTCCCATTTATTGAGCCCTACTGGTCCACCAGGCATCCTTGTCAGCACGTAGGCTCTGCTTTAGTTCACGCCTAATAGCCCGTCCGGTCACATTGTGTTCAGAGCCAGTCGGGAGGTGTCTTCTAGATGCCAACAGGTTCACCGAACTCTCGGATATCCAGTGACTGGTGCAGTGACGATGGATAGTGCCACAAGCAGATGCTCCTGCGTCGTGCATGGCGGCCGAGATCAGATTCCACTGAAGCTCAGTGTCATTAGAACAAGACAGCGAAAGTTCGGTATACAGTGCTTCTTGATAGGCTTGCCTGACCGAGGACTGAGACAATTTCTCCGTTGCCAAACGGAGGAGACGCTTGGTGCCCTTCCCGGTAAAGTTCATGAAGAAACGACAACGTACCAAGGCATGATCAGAGTCGACACAGGTACTCCAGTACGAGCGGCAATCTGGAACCACGTCACCTGTAACTTATGGCTAAGTGGTCAATTTGGGTCCATCGCTGGCCAGCTACAGGAGGACGCCAAGTGGCACTTCGGCGCGCACTGTGTCTAAAAGCAGTGCTACTAAGAAACAACTGGTGCTCCGCACACAGTTGCAGCAGACGCTCACCGTTGTCAGTCCGTTCGGAGTTAAGTCCACAATTACCACCCAGCTGAGCTTCTGAAGAGCTCAGACGCCCTACTTGTGCGTTCATATCCCCTGCAAGTCCTATAATATCTGAACTAGTAGCGCTGCGTAGTAGCGCGTTCAGTTCGTGACAGCATTTGAACTGCAGTCGGTGGGAGCATAAGCGGAAATCACGAACAAACAGCGTTTTGTACTACTTCGTGTATCAACCCTAGCTGATGTCATCAAACGGACTGCACATAAACGGCTGTTCACCACAATCCAATCAACCAACGATGGCTCAGCCTTGGAGCTTAGAATGATACCTACACCAGGTTGACCCGTGAGTGCTGCATCAGCGTCTCCGGATGCGTAAAACCAATAACTAGAGGAAGAGCCTCGTTAGGGTCATTGATCCTAATTTCGGACACACATCACAGTATACGGCAACTAGATCTCGGCGAAATATCATCATGGGCATCATCTAACTACCTTCCGTTATTTCCGGCTAAGTCCGAACTAATCATCATCGGCAAAGGCTCTCGGGACAGAACGTACAGGATCGGTGGTCGACGGCTATACCTATTTAAAACGGTAAAAGATTTCTGAGTATTATCCCGGTGGGATTTAAAATTTGGACAACACGCACAAAGTTCATTGTTTTAGCCTCAGGGTGCTTTGGTCACTGAAACGGACATTCTCTGTTTGGTCAGGGAAAACTTCTATCGGACGTTATGTAATCTTGGTGCGTCCGCTGTTGGAATGCGGTACACCGGTATACTATCCTAACACGAAGGGCGAGACATGGAAACTGAAGAAAGTGCAACACCTGGCCACCCGCTTGATTCCTACAATTCGTGGTCTATCCTATCCCCAGAGATGCCTAAAGTTGCATCTTCACACCTTAGTGTACAGGAGATTAAGAATTGATCTCATTACAATCTTCAGAACCCTTCTCTTGGGACACTTTCCTCATCTGAGATGTATGTTCTGCGTTTCGGATATATCGATCACCCGTTGGCATGTGCATAAACTTGAAATTCCGCGGTTGAATCATGTTATTTATTCACATCGCTTCGCTCATCGTGTGATACACTTCTGGAACTGGCTGCTCAGTCTTGTTTTTGTCGCAGACTCTGCTATTTTTCAAGCAACGTATCGACTATCACTCTGGCAACCTGTGTTTCGATGCGGGTCTCCTTGATCCTCGATCTTCTCACTTTGGATGGATATGTTGCGGCTGCTTTAGTTGTCTTACAGGACCGAGACACTTAAATCTACCGCTGACATGGCCTTTTAAACTATTTCGTATAACCGAAACTAGACGTTCAGGCTTGCGACTTACACAGATCATTATCCTGTAGTGGTCAGTTTTGTCTTGCCTTTTTATGATGGAGATGACAGATTGTAATCTTATTTTCCTAATGCAATGATCCTGATTCTGAGTCGTGGCGACTGGGTCCACCGCAATTGTCGCGATGCCAGTGGCATTTGTCTTTCCTCTTGCTGGGCCTCATTGTCGGTGGCAGAAACACTGGTAGAAATTAGTTATGTTTGATCGCAGTTGGCGATAGTATTGTTTCCATAAAATTTGTTGCAGCGCTTTACTGGCATGTCTTGCTCAATTTCATCGGCTCGTAGCTTACAGGTAACGAGCTTGTCTTGTAATCTGACGGCGCGGGTTAGAGCCTGTATAGGGACAATGTGACTCTCGCAGTATCCTTTGCCCACATGCGACCGATGGTGGTTGTGCGGCAGCGAAACCTTGGTACTGCGAACCGGCGTACTGCTGATGTCTATTTTTGCCATGTTCAGTTTCCAACTTCCTAGCTTCTGCTACTTGTACAAATTTGAGCTCACTTACATACATTCATGTTTACTCGTACGTGCTTCAATTACAGCCTCCCTGGTACAACCGAATCGAAGCACTCCTCGTTGTTCATTGCTCCCAAGTAACCACGTGACTGCATTACCATCAGGAACTACGATAATGGTATTACCCTGTTATTCCTCTCGTTTTACTCATTAGACTCAATCCTCCTACTTGATGTCATTTATCCGAAATCTTATGGAAAAGTAGGTTGTTTTATAGAACTTTCTCCTGTTTTCCTCGGTATTTAGTAGTTCCAAAGATGTCCGCGAAAAGAAGAAAAAGCAGCTAGAGACTGATTTTTCTGAGACTGGATCTGTGTTGAACACCTGTCTAGTGGAGAGGTTCGAAGAAGTGACAAAGGTTTTGAACGTCTACAACGCTGTTTCTAGCCGTGTGTCAGGTAACTGGCAACTATCTGTTTCCCTATTTCTTACTTTAGCGAACATATCGGCCGTAAACAAAATTAAACGGGACCTCTTGGCTTGCAAAACTCTGTTATATTGCAATCGCGAAGAATTAAGGCGGCTTTGGATCGAGCTAGTGGAGCAGCGCGCTTGCATCGAATTGTTGGATACGTTGGCACTCGTTCAATCCGCTCCAGATGCTATATCAACTTTAGTCACTGCCCGTGCATGGTCAGAGGCTACCGAACTTATACTACGTGCTTCAGAACTATTAAACTCTGATATTGCCGTTATTCCTGCCCTTGTTTCTGTCAAGACAAGTCTGGCTCACAAACATAAGGTGGGCAAACTTGATAAATAGTGTGTTTTTGTCAGGTCCATCGTCTTGTGTTTCGGTAACGCGTGAAACTTTTATTTTTACTACCGCTCGCCTCAAGCCAGACAACTCCTGATCAAATTACTGCGAATCCACTAACTCCTATCTGCGGCTTGTCGTGCTCGCAGGTTCGGATGCTACTGCGGTCGAAAAATACGTGTGCTTCGTTCTAAATATCCGAGAGCTGCATGTGACAGATCTCAAGCCGATCTTAATGGGTCTCTGCAATCACCCTCCCGAGCTGGACTTGCTCCTCATTTCCACGTGGGTCCGACTATTGAGCCAAAGACTCCGAGTAGTCTCTCAAACAAACCTGGTGTGCCCAGTGTCTTGTGGGTCAAATTGCTGAGTCAATGGCCAGAGCCAAAGCACTTCACCATCATCAACATTACACGTTGGCTAGAGGTAGGAAGCACCTCAGCTACTATGCAGCAATATACGAGGAAGAAAGCACCTCGAACAAAACCACTCTCACAGGATGGCAACCACCACCATCATCATCATTATACACGTTAGCTGCAGGTGGAAAACACCTCAGTTATTGTGCCGCAATACAAAAGACAAGAAAAAAAGTTTGGCAACCGGAGAGTATCATATGCTCTCCCGATCCCATCGGCAACCATTCTTTTTATCTCAACACTCATGTATTGGGCAAGAGACTGTCGCTAATCTCACAGCTTCCGTCATCTATACGTGTTACTTGTCCCTCAAACCAAAGGTCTCTATTATAACCTTCTCACATTGGTTCGTTTATGATCCGAACTAACTCACTCTTCACTCTTAGTGTCTGTGTGTTATGTCGTCGAAACACAGTATCATGACAAATCTTCAACTCCATGGTTCTGCATCTGCGGACACTGTGTAAACCCTTCTCGTCGCTGACGATACAGTCAATTGCTCAAGGTAATTGCGGTGTAAGTATCGCCCTCAACAAAGATGCTGAAGGTAATCAACTCGAGTGCATATCAGTGAACAGCTTCATGAATGGGGTTCGAATTCGAACTTCTCTTGGGGATAACAAGCACCGTCTGAATACAAGGTGCCTTTTTCTTACTTCCGTTTATGCCCCTACTGATTGTAGTTCGGAAGGCCTCAAGGACGATTTCTATCGTCAGTTCTCGTCTTTGGTCAGCATGGCGAGAATTACTGACATCGTGATTGTTCTAAATAAGACAATAAGAAGACTGGTATTGCGAGATGGTACCATTTCGTGTTATCTGTTCACTCGCAAACTAACAGCTGATAGATGAATCACGTGACAGAAAAAATCGAAGATTTGAAACTGGTCACAAGGGAAAAATTACGTAGACACAACAATGACAGATTAGCATCCTGATCTTAGGGTCATGAGCCCCAAGGAAGCTTCAGGGAGACTGTTAATTGTTTTTGCATGCATAGGATAGGGTGATGCCGTTAAGTGCCACGGCTTCGGCAAACCTCAACACTTTGGGGTTGTCATTACCATAGATAACTGTAAATGTTGACCTGGGGTCAACCTGATGGCCTGATTCCAGTAGGTGTTTGGCGATCGATGAGGCCGGCATCTTAGATACCTTTTCTCGTTCGCCTGCTTCTTGTGTCGACAGTTTGGCAATCCATTTTGGGATATGCTCTCCAATGCGCTTACCCAACGATCGATCTTTTCTGCCAAAGTAACTACTACCGCAGTTACAAACGAATTGGTAAATGCAATGAGTTGTGGCGGAGATCGGTTGAGTAGGCTTCACTGGAGGCATAGGTAACTTCCTGGTTTCCCAAATGGGGCAGAATTTGGCTGCGTTGAAATGAGATGTGAGCAGCACATCAATCAAATGTGTTTATACAAGCGATACGTAGATGACACATTAGTGATCGCCCCAAGTGGAGACGCTGTTCAATCTTTCCTCAACGTGCTTGATAACACATCCAAACGCCCGTTTTACCTGCGAACTGGAGGATAACAATTGCCTTCCATTTTTGGATTTGTTGTTGACCAGACGAGATGGCTCCATTAAGCGTTCTGTACACAGGAAAGCTACATGGACAGGATTGTATGAACACTTCAACAGCTTCGCCCCTATACAATACAAGCGGTGCTTAGTCAAGACGCTGTTTAATCGAGCCTGCAGAATATGCACTGACGACTGTTTGGAATCGGAATTGCTGTTTATCACACAGACGCTACGAGCCAACGGATATCCAGAAGCGTTTATTCGATTCCACGGTCAACTGAAGGAAAACAGGCCGACGGTACTTACTGTGCCCAAATTGTCTGTCTACCTTCAATTACCTTTCAAAGGTGATATCGTGGCCGCCCAACTTGAAAGTCGTGTGCATACAGCGATTCGGCGGGCATTCAACGCAGCCAAATTCTGCCCCATTTGGGAAACCAGAAAGTTACCTATGCCTCCAGTGAAGCCTACTCAACCGATCTCCGCCACAACTCATTGCAGTTACCAATTCGTTTGTAACTGCGGTAGTAGTTACTTTGGCAGAAAAGATCGATCGTTGGGTAAGCGCATTGGAGAGCATATCCCAAAATGGATTGCCAAACTGTCGACACAAGAAGCAGGCGAACGAGAAAAGGTATCTAAGATGCCGGCCTCATCGATCGCCAAACACCTACTGGAATCAGGCCATCAGGTTGACCCCAGGTCAACATTTACAGTTATCTATGGTAATGACAACCCCAAAGTGTTGAGGTTTGCCGAAGCCGTGGCACTTAACCGGCATCGTCCTATCCTATGCATGCAAAAACAATTAACAGTCTCCCTGAAGCTTCCTTGGGGCTCATGACCCTAAGATCAGGATGCTAATCTGTCATTGTTGTGTCTACGTAATTTTTCCCTTGTGACCAGTTTCAAATCTTCGATTTTTTCTGTCACGTGATTCATCTATCAGCTGTTAGTTTGCGAGTGAACAGATAACACGAAATGGTACCATCTCGCAATACCAGTCTTCTTATTGTCTTATTTAGAATGATAAAGGGAACTCAATGCTTTAAATCGTGATTGTTGCTAGCGACACGAATGCACAAGTAGGTCGCGCTAGCCTGTAACACTGTCTATCCATGGTGGGCGCGCCAGCTAATCTCCTTTCCATTCTGAAGTCCCTTTCCTGTGCTTCCCGAGGTTATATAATTGTCTACGAACAACTCGGTCCTGAGTTCCTCACAACAGGTGGGGTTCGCCAGTGTTGTCCTATATCTCCTTTCCTCTTCAATTTTGTGATCGAAATGATCATGCATGACTCGGTTCTTTCAGACTTTTCTATTTTAGAAGTTCTGCTAAGCGACCGACTGACTAAATTGGAGTATCCGGACGACGTAGTTCTCCCTGGATCTGATGCGTTGACCGTGCAAACCCTACTGCACAGACTTGTGCGTAGCGCTGTACGGTTCGGCATGTACTTTGTACCTTCAAAATGCAAAGTGCTGTTGCAGGACTGGGCTGGAAAACCCCGGTTTTGGCTATTTCCGAACAGGCACTGGATGGGGTGGATCGGTTCACTTACCTTGGTAGCTGTGTCACCTCTGATGGTCACATCACTGAGGTAGTTACTTCGCGTATCAGCAAAGCCCGTGGCTTTCTAGAGGCTCAACCATCTGTGCAGACGGCGGGATATCAGCTTGTCACTGAAAGATAGGGTGTATAACGCTGCGATAAGGCCGGTGTTACTGTATGGATCGGAGACATGGTCAGTTCGCAATGAAGACATTAAACGCTTGGCCGTGTTTGACCACAAGTATTTGCGAACTACTGCTCACGTTTGGTTGGAACACTGAGTGAGCAATGCTGAGGTCCGCCACTTGGTTTTTGGCAAGAAGCCTTCTGATGCCTCCCTCGAGTGTTTGCTAAATCTCAATCGCTTACGTTGACCAGGCCATGTCTTCCTTATGCCCGTTGTTCGGCTTCGGCGTGCATTATACGCCGTGGCTGCACCAAGTTAAGCGAAGCCTCGAATTGGCCAGTCCATGACATGGCATAGAAGTTTGAAGAAATCGACTAAGAGGCTTGCTCAGGCTGGTGCTTGCCGTCTTCCTGGATGGGGGCCTCGGGACGATCCACATCAATGCTTGGAGACCGTGCCAGACATGGCGCAGTCATTGGCGTTTATGCATTCGGTTTCTTTCATCTGATCGTTAATTTTCGCTCCATTCTGATTAGTCTAACGCATTTCCTTCTTGCTTTCAGTTTCTCTACGTTCTACTTGCACACAACCCCACTATCCTACCGGTGTTATTTATTGTTATTCTTACGGTGTGAGCCTTGGCAACTAGCTCCACCGCACTTCGGTGCTCGAATCACAGTCGATCAACTGTACTGAACTGTGATGTGTTGCTTTTCAGACCCCGATCATCATCATCAACAACAACAGTACATCAGCCACTTTAAGTGATGCTTCCTTACCGTACAACCACAACGATATACGGAATGAAGAATAATAAAATCTTAGTGCCTTAAACTAACATTCAGGGTCAAGCCGCCTACACCTTGTCAACAAGATACCGTCAAAAACAGTTGGATATCATGCAAAGATAAGGCGGCATTAGCGAGGCAGCTTTCTTGCTACTTTCACTGCCCCGCATCATAATCAGCCATTACCCCGCAGATAACTCAGCACCAAACACACTCTAAACACAGTCCGACTAGGAGACGGCAGCAGATGCGCTGCTGGTGTTGACTGCGAGCCATGTCCTATGAAGTCTGGAGCCAAGCACAAGGCAAGTCACGTGGACTCCAGCCTGGAAAGCGAGACGTACCGACAGCACCAAAGTCTTGTGTCATCTTCGGCAAGCGATGACCGAGCATACGTAGCGAGTGCCTAAGCTAACGCAACTTATTCACCTTCATCTGTTGTACTGAAGAACCAGCCTGACCATCACTGCCTAGCACTCGCCTACGTACATCACTGTTGCGGACACGCTGGTGCCACCCGACACCAGCAATGCTACGCAGAAAACGATGATCAAAGACCTGAAAACG